AAAATATAGATGATAATTTTGATCATCTAACTAAATGTCAATGAATGAACAAGGGTCTACAAATGAGGTCCAAGAGCCTACAACAAACAAGGATTATCATGGATGCATGCAAAATCTGTGTAGTGAAAGAGATAATTGGCTTATAAGCATGAATGATTTGCAAGCTTTAGAATCCCAAACGACAACAATTAAAGTGTAAGGAGCATTGCAGCTGAAATGAAGATATTAAGATATCAAATTCATCATACAAATTGCAAATCACTTTTGAGAATAAAGAAGTGATGAATGTAGTTTGTTTGTAAGAAGCGCAAGATTTTAGATGCATGGCTTGATTACAAGGCCATAATATGATGACTTTAAAGCATCATAATGGATTTATAGTATGGAGCATAACTCACTCTTTAGTGGCAATTGAGTGGATAAAAATAAGGCATGTCATGAACATAAATAATATACTTCAACCATGTTCTCAAGTGATCAAGGATAATTGGAGATAATGAAAGTTCATGATTCTTAATATTATTCATTCACAATCAACGATCAGATGAAGACATAATCAAATGCCTGCAATCAACCACCGTTATGAGCTCAATATGTCTACAGTCAAGTATATGAAGAATGGCGGCAGAGACAACATGTCCTTCACACATTCAAGGTATCTACCAATTATTGTGGCGAAGACACTATGATATCTCCATGATCAACAATTGTCCAACATCAGTCGAACACATCGGCCCTCTATAAGAAAAGACAAATGATACGTAATGGAGTATAAATATGTAAGGGGTTGTAGAATATTCCTTATACATACCACATGATGTTTACAAGCAGAAGCATATGAGGTACGATGAGTGCAAAGTATATACAAGTCGTTATAGAAGAACTGTCGTACACCCAATATGTCATATAGAGGGCAAATACAGAAGAGAACTGTAGTAGATAGGAGCTCTTACAATATGCTGTAGAAGACCTGTAGTACGCCCAATATGTTGTCAACATGCAAAGATACCAAATGACTACACATCAAATGCAAAGCAGGAGATTAGTTAGTGCACTACGATCCACCTGTAGAAAGCGACGAGTAGTGCACGACAGTCTACCTGTACAAAGCAGCAAATAACTGATTCAGAAGCTGCTACGCCACGCCATCGGATCTGCGACATTCGTACAAGCAGACAGAAGGCGTCCACAACTACAATGCCACGCCACCGGATCCGCAATTTCTATGCAAGCGGACAGAAGGCATATACAAATATTTCAAAATACCCCTGCACGTGCACTTTAATTTATATACACATAGGTATACTAAAAGGGGGTAAAAGCAATCAAAGAACCTACAAGGGCCCCGACGAGCGTGTTATTGGTACACACGTGACGTCTTGGGATGCTGCGCGGGTTATTAAAATTGAACCCGATCCTTCTAAGAAGATAAAAAGAGTGGATATGGTTCAATTATAAAATGCCCCCAAACACCCGTATGGGCCCCGGCGAGCGTGTTATTTGTACACACGTGACGTCTAGGGATGCTGCGCGGGTTGACAAGTGAGTTTAGGTTTGAAACTGATCCTTCGATACGGGTCAATAGAAGTCGACAAGGTTCGAACCAACAAACAAATATACGGTTGTGGCGATCATCATATTTGTCTTAATACATTCATATTAGGCCTTCAAGGCCTATAATAATGAGAATTCACTATCAAGAGCATAAAGCCTACGAAACCCGATCCTCGATCAATAGCTTGGTCGAGTTGACAGGGTTCAATCAACAAAAGAGAAATGACCCCAAACACCCCGATGATGGCCGTGTTGAATGCAAATCTCAACCGGAGGGTTCCATTCCAAATATTTTTCAAATGCCATTCCAAATATTCTAAAATCCAAAAAAAATCTTAAAATCATCAAAATCCCAAAAATATTTAAAATTTGAAATCATCCATCAATCACTCAAAGCAAAAAAACACCCACTCTCCGCAACAGTTTGCCGAGGTGGACAAATTAAAGTTTACTTACGCTCACAAAGAGCCAAATGCCTAGTCGAAAATATCGCTAGGATTCATTCTCAAACAGTCTCCTGTCAGTAAGGACGTGGTACGTGTCCTCTAACCGGCAGTTTTGCCGCCAAATGGCACTGCAGGTAAACGGTTATGACCCGGGGCCCTCTAAACCGAGTAGTTTTGCCGCCAAATGGCACCACGAAATATCGGTCATGGCCAGCGTCGTTACGTTTCTTATTGGCATCAAATCCTTGAGATATGAATCAATAGGATATGATCGATAGGGCACAAGCCCTCTGTTAGCTAAGGTGGATTCAAATTTGTCCCCTTAGACAAATATTCACCCCCGGTCTACGAGGTCCCCTTGGACGAAGCAACCCATGGTTGCCGACAAGGATCCTTCTGTCAGGTTGGGTCGACTACCTCCTCTGACTAAGTAGACCAGGGACCACGATGGCCCGGGACGACGGAACCATGGGATCTTGATCGGGTCCATCATCCATTCCTCTACCATCCGCTTTAAGTGCAAGATGGTGCAATTTCCATTTTAAATATTAAAACTTTCCAAATTCCCAAATTCTCCAATCTTTCCAATCTCAAATCCATTGCTGCTACTATATGCCAGATAACACGTATTCTATACGTATCTGATTGACGACTAACCTTAATCGAAAGTTCTCTCTCGTGATCGGGAGGGGTAATTAACTATAGGGGCTTGCGCCTATAGGAAACCAAAACTCAGATCATAAAGTCCTCTGTCCTCACAAAATGAGGGCGAAATCTCTTGGTAGTGTCTTATCTACAAACCCATCTGCCTTCCAAAATTTACCCCAGAACTTATTCAGTTAAAACTCCCTCGCCGAATAAAAAGAAAAGCGGGCGGAGGCTGGGGCCGAATTTTCGGAGCCCACAGTGAGCTAATCATGCTGCTAGTTAGTAACAATAATTGGATAGCTGTCTTATGGGTTTTCATTTATTAAGTTATTCTTTGGTGAATACATTATAGAAAATATTTCATTTGAATTATGACAATAGTAAATAAGAAGGCTTTAAACTATATTATATAGTAGTGGAAAGAGACATTTGGTACATGATAGAACTTTGCAGTAAATATTTTAAGATTTGTGCAGAAAGGAGGTTTGCAAATAATTAGTGACACGGTAATGTTGAATTGCAATTAAACTATTATGAATTATGGTTATTAACATGAATTATGAATAGACATATTTAATGGTCACATGTTTCTGTTCTTAAAATAAAATTAGGATAATCAATCAAATCATTGGAAACTTAAATAAATTAATGATCAATCCATCCGATTTAATTAATTAGTGCAAGGATTATTATTGACCATATTGTTTAGTGTCATAAAAGAAGAATATTCCATAAATGTTTGAGTTATGAATGAATTGATATTTTTTAAACACAACTTTATTATTTAATAGAGCAATAATTAAATGAGTCCTATTTTTAATGATCAGGAGACGGTAACTTTCTGAAAGCACTAAAAATTTCAGAACATGAAGAATAAAAAGAGAGAGAGGGATACTTTTGTTTGCTATCTGTAATATAACTTTTGAATAGGCATGTTTAAAGAACACATATTTTTGTACTATTACCGTTTATCAAAACCAGCAGGTTATTTGAAATGTATGAGCATGCAATTGCTTAAGTTTAAATAATCAAACCATCTGATTTGGTTAATTAGATGCAAAGATTTTGTTTAGCAATGTTCTCAAGAATCATAAAAGTAAGCAGATATCTAGCGTATATAAAATCAATTCCAAAATAAGAACTGTTTTTAGTTAAAAGAAGGCAACACCATAAACTATTGAAGTAACTTGCTGATGCATTTACAATTTCAGAAGAAAAAACGAGCATAACTTGGTTAATGATCCTTAATAGTGCATTTAATCTAATTTTATATCTTATTTACAAAAGATTCTCGTTTTCAAATCATGCGAAATCTGTTTTTGTGAAGGTAACAGACTGGGAAAATTAGTTTTTTTGTGCAATAAAATATGAAAATAGAAAATTAGACTAAGATTAAAAAAGAAATTTATTAGGTTTTTTTATAATTCAAAATAATGAATATGACATCCACAGGGAGTTAGATTATAAGATTTTTAACAATTTGAAAAACAAATGAAGATTTAAAAAAATGGAAAATTGTTTGTGAAGACCAGTTTTTTCAGGGAGGAATCTATTAGATTTTGAATAATTTAAAAATTAAAATTAAATGCATGTAAACTATGGCTGCAATAGGGATGAAAGGAGATAATTAGATAAAAATTTGAAATAATTTAAAAAAATCCAAAGAATGCTACAGTAGTTATCCAGAAATAAGAGCTATCATAGAAATTACAGTTGAAAGGTCGGGATATCATTAGCTTAAATGGAGAGCTAGGATTTTGTTTGGGTGAAATTCCAAGCGATTTTCTTAATTGTAATGTAGATTTATTGTTCAATGTGGAGTATATAACTTGTTTTTACTTTATATCTTATGCTATTAAAGATTATAAACAGGGGTGGAACCTGGAAGAGCTCAGGGTCGGCAATTGCCCACTCTGAAATTTTATTTTTTCTTAGAAGAATAATCATTGTAACCATTTTGTCTACCTTCAATAATTGCATATGTCCAAGTTCTTAGAAAAAAAATTCATTTCTCTATTTCTTATGTGAAATTATGCCTTTCACAATATTATTATCCAACTTCAAAAGAGAGGTTGGTTCCGTACAATAAAGATGAGTAATACTTATGATCATTTAAAAGGTATGGAGTTTTGAGTATTTTTTTAAACTGCATTGAAATATTTTGTATAAGTAATGCGAAAACTATCTTATTCTGAGTTTTTTTTAAAATTATTATTATGAGAGATCACTAAGATACATGGATCATTCATGAAGCATTCGATTTTCATTCATTGTTTCGGTCACCAGCCTATTCTAACAAAAAATATCATGACAAATTTAAGCTAACTGATGAAACCTTCTGCTGAAGTATAGGCCATTTGATGGAAAAGATTGAAAAGGAAAATTTGCTTCATAGGGCCTTCAGCGTTTTCCTGTTCAACTCAAAGTATGAGCTGCTGCTTCAGGTATATATTTGTCGCTTTACCTTATTATTAATAAACTAAAAATTCTAATGTTTTGTTCTAATCACTGAAAGTGCAATATTTCCAGTTGGCCTTTTTCTAGTATGCCAAAAGAGAGAGAGCACAATGAAAATTCTCTTCACAATCTCTATGACTCTCTGGCAATTCAGCACTGTTTATCTTATTGTTAGCACTATCCATTTAGAATGCTTAAAACCTTCTATTATCCCTTGATTCTACACAGCAAAGATCTGCCACAAAGGTCACTTTTCCTTTAGTATGGACAAACACCTGCTGCAGTCATCCCCTTTATCGCGAATCAGAGCTCATACAGGAGAACTTCCTTGGTATTTTATAAAAATCTTCTCTGTTTTCTGCCAACAACTCAACCATAGATATAAAATTCTTGTAACCTACTCAGGGGTTAGAAACGCCTCTCAGAGGAAGTTGCTTGATGAACTTGGCATTCCCCCTGAAGACCTTCCTGTAGATGAGTTCATTCCTGTAGGTCGAATGCTTTATAAGGCTCCTTCAGATGGCAAATGGGGGGAGCATGAACGTAAGTCCTTACCCTCATAAGCCTATATTTCGGCTTCGTTTGGGACGGCTTTCTTATTGATTCTTAAAGCAGCTTTTTAGTATAAAAATTTTAATTTTTGTATTAGAAAGCTTCTTTAAGAAAGCCGTCCCAAACGAAATCTTCAAGTTACATTCCAACTCCTTTTCTGTATTAACCATTCAAGCGATTTCAATCACAGTTGATTATCTGCTGTTCATTGTTCGTGACGTCAAGGTGAATCCAAATCCAGAAGAAGTCGCCGACGTTATGTACGTCGACAAGGACAAGCTCAAGGAGCTGTTGAGGAAAGCTGATGCCGGCGAAGATCGTATAAAACTCTCTCCTTGGTTCAGACTGGTCGTCGACAATTTCTTGATGGAATGGTGGGATCATGTGGAGAAAGGTACTTTGCATGAGGCTGCTAACATGAAAGCTATTCATAAGCTCACATGAAAATTTTCCAGGTATTTTTCTGATGGCTGCTAGTAGTACAATCTCTACTACCTGCCAATCTTAGGTTTCATTTGGAAAAAAAAATTATATTAAAAAACTGCTTTATAAAACAGTAAAAAAGCCGTTCCAAACGAAGCCTTAATCTGCTCTATATGGTGGACTCCTTTTTTGTGAACAAGCACATGCATGTTGCTAGGTAAGTGTTTGTTGTATCTGGAATTGTTGACTTGCTTTTAGTGCTTGTTCTCATTGGCTTATTTTTATTAATTTTATTATGTTATTCTTCTTTGAGAATTTTAAGTTATATTAATCTTTATGGGACTAAATTTTTTACAAGAAAATGTGCTTTTGAAGAAACAGTGAAGATATGATATTGGAAAAAAAAAAAAAATAATCAGAACATTTGAATATGTTTTTTGTCAGGATAGTATTAATTTTATTATATGTAATATTAATCTTACATGTCACATATTATCTATATAACAATAAGAACAATAACATAATGTCTTTATCCTATTATGTGTGATCAACTACATAAATCATTTTTTTTTTCATAATCAAATTTTCATTACATTTTCATATATTATAATCAAGCCTTTTTAGGTCTGCCTCTATTTTTCTTAATATTAGTCAAATCTGCTATATTTACTCCCCTAACTGGGTCTTTGGAAGGTGGATGATTTATGTGACCAAATTATCTAAGTCGACTTTTTCTAATCTTATTTGTCATTGGATCTAGTCCAACTTTTTCCTATATATACCCATTTCACGTTCTGTCTCTAAGAGTGAATCCACTTATCCATCTAACTGTTCTCTTCTCTGCAACACTTAACTTAATTTTATATTTCTCTTTTAATAGCGAACATTTCTATCACACATTACAATTTTCAACACCATTTTATAAAAGTTTTTCTTAAATTTGAGGGGTACTTTTCTCTCACACAATAGGCCCGATACATTCAACCCCTTCAATCATCCAACTTGAGTTCTATTAATAATATTCTTATATATTTCATCATCATTTTGATCAATAAAATATATTATCTCTAATATATCTAAATCATTTGACAATAGATAAATTGAATTATTAAATAATATAATGAAATTATTAAAGATTTATAGTATTTTTTTATTATATTTGTGAACATTTAATAGGTTATTTGTATTATCTAATAATTTTATTATATTTATCTGGTAGTTTAAAATTAAATATAGGTATAATGAAAATAATCTCATCATAATACAAAACTTGTCATTACAGCCCTCCTTTGGACCTGCAACTGTGAGCCCAGCACTTTTACACAGGCGTAAAAGCATTCGAGATCTTTTGATGAATATTTCTGAGTCTTTTCCGTTGGCTTTATGATTAGAAATTTACATACATAACATTTAAAATTGGATGGTTGAAGAGGCGGAATACATCGGAGTTATTGTGTGATAGAATAGTACCCCTCAAATTTAAGATAAAATTCTATAAGATGGTGGTGAGACTTATAATAATGTACGACGCATAATGTTGATCATTAAAAGAAGAGTATAAAATCAAAGACTGAATGTGAATCAAATATACAAGTGAAAATGTTGGAGTAACTTCAGAGGAAAATGAGATTAGACAGAGTCATCTTATTTGGTCACATAAAGCGTCGCTCATATGAGGACCCAGTTAGGAGAGTAGATGAGTTAGATCCGGCCTATATTAAAAAAGATAGAGACAGAACTAAAAAGACATGATTATAAAGTATTAGAAAAAAAATTCTAATTATTAGATTTAAATGAGAACAAGCACTTCTTAAAGCACAATGAGGATGACCAATCTCTTTTTATATCCGGGCTGATATCAAAGCCGTCTGATTTACATTAAGATTAGTATTTTATATGGCATCTTGAATTATATTAATCTCAACATAAAACAAACGATTTGTAAACCCATTATGATGTATTTTTGCATCAAAATATACTGACATAATTTTTTTTTTATAGATTAAAAGTAAAGAAATTAAATAAGAGACTTAATATTTGAATAATAAATTTGATATTTAAACTTAATATCTAATATTTAATAGAAGCATATCTGAATGAAGAGAAGAGAAAAAATGCTGAGCTAAATTTTAGGTAAAATTATTATTTTGTTTAATATTGTTAATTTGGATTAGAATTGATAATCTTAGGACTAACTAATTTTACAAAGTCAGCAACTTTATAAAGTGAACAAAATTAAATAAATTATTATTTTAACTTAGTATTTAGCTCTTAAATAGACACAAAAAAATGTTCTGCTAAAATATTTTATATTTAAATAAAATGCATAAATCTTCTCAGAAATCATTTAATTTAATGAATTATCTTTGATTTCTAAAAAAGGAAATCCAATATTCAAAAACTTGTTTTTTTTTTTTTGATAAAAATATCTTCTTTCTCTCAATGGATTAAAAAAATAAAAAATCTTCAATCATTGCAATCAGATCTATGTATTAATTAATGAATAAGCTAATGAGATCTTAATTTATTGTGAATATATATATTCATTATTACTCTTAACCTGCAAAGGGAATCTTGAGACATTATTGGTTTCTAAAATTAAACCCAATAAATTATAATGTCCTTTATACCCCTAATTCTCTCTAGTTTCAATGGTTTGTAGGGCCAAACCCATTTCTAGTAGGTTAAGGACTTGATTGGGGTATATTAGGAAAAAAAGGGTATATTAGGAAATATTTGTTTACTTGTATGGTTATGAGAATTATATTAGAAAGTTCAATTTTTAAACCTTATAAATTATGAAATGTAATGGAAATACTTAAAAGTGATTCACTTTTGCTTTTTTAGACTTAGAAATTGATAATATTAGATTGCTATAGAAAAAGAGAAAAATAAAACATAGCAAGTGTTGGATATATAAATATCATATTTGTTAGGAGGAAGATGAAATATATTGTGCTTAAGGGATGTGTTTAGTAAAAAATTAATAGAGAATTGGTCAAAGCATCTATTTGAAGAGTTTAGGATATCTTTCATATATATATTTTTAGAATTAATTTTAAAGTCATTAAATTTATTTTATTTATATTATACACTCACCCTAAAATAAATTCAAGGGCTTTAAAAATTTATCATAATTATTTGTTAATATTCATATTAAATTTTTTAAACTATCAAATCAGTGTATTTATCTATGTCATGATTGAACCATTGATATTTGACAAAAAAAAATGATGAATTTTTTATCATGAATTTAATAATTTTGTTGATAATTTAAAAAGGAAAAGAATGAATTAATACTGTAATATAATTTGTTATCAGGACGATCTCAAAGTCTTTAATTTTATTTTAAGATGAAAGCAATATATTTTTTTGATTGATTATCATATATCATACTTATCTCAAGGCAAATTTCATTGCTTTGAGGCCCACCATAATCCAAAAATTTTCAATTTTAACAAATTTAAGTATGAGAATGTTATTTTGCAAATATTCAAAATTTAAATGTTATATATGAATTTATTATTATTATTTTTCCATTATATCTTCATTAATGATATTAGATTCTTTTGATTTGGCTATTTAAAATTTAATAAAAACCTTTGAGGCTTAAATTTCTATTAATGAAATTGCATTTAATAATAAATGATAATAAATAATTGATGGTTGAATAGCCTCTAGCTACCCCGCCAGACTTAGCTGGGTTGGTGGGCGAGCGTGGTTGGGTACCTCCAACCCATTCCTCTCTCAAGCAGCATGACTCCTTAGGTGGGAAGAAAATTAGTACATGGTCCGGCACCTGTGTGGCTGGTTGCTGCTAGGCCCGCCGAGTAATTAGTTACTTCGTCAAGCACCTCCTCTACGGGGTGACAGCCTGTAGATACCCTCGTTCCAAAAAAAAAATCCTTAATGCAAATATTATGTGAAGCATTCACTGCATCTTACAGATCATAATTCTACATTAATTACCAGCTATAAATAATTGCAATGATTATCCAATATTAAAATCAGCAGATCTCCATACTATAAATGCAAATTGCAGCTTCTATAGCAGATTTTGCATGTGACTCAAGTGCTAAGAAGATATGTGATCAGCTGAAAAAGGAATAAAAAATAGCAAAAAATTGGAGGATTTACATACATTTCACTTTATTTCATGCTATTTACATATCTAATCCTAAAAAATTTTCAGCTTAAAATAAATGTGATGCATTGAGAATATTTCGTATTTAATGCTTCAATATGTGCTCTGTGTGTGAGTTTGTCTTAGTGACTCAAATGCCCCTAAAAAAAGTACTTATAGCTTAAGAAGGCTTTATTTGGAAAAGCTTTTTTATTGCTTTCTAAAGTAATTTTCTAATACAAATTTTTTTAGAAATTATTTTAAAAAGCAATAAAAAAGTCGCCTTGAACATGTGTGCTAAATTTTTTTTTTTACTTAGGCTTCGTTTGGGACGGCTTTTTACTGCTTTCTAAAACGGAGTTTTAATAAAAAAAAAAATAATAAAACTCCGTTTTAGAAAGCAATAAAAAAGCCGTTCCAAACGAAGCCATAGTCTATCCTCACACCCTTTAAACTACTTCATGATATCTACCCTCCAAATTTTGTTCTCTCTTTAGTCAATATATTCTATCAACTCCTCACATGCATATATAACTATGTTGCTTTAATTATAATTAGGTCTAGCCTTTCATCATTAAAAAAATTATTATGCATGTTACAATATACTCAAAATAATTTATTTTGTGTGAGAGAATTTATTCTGAGCATATAATTCTCCCACACAAATTAAATTGTTTTAAGCATGATGTGATGTGCATAATATTTATTTTTATTGATGAGAATCAGGACATAATTATATTAAATCAGTATAGTAATATATACATATAAGAAGTAAGAATCATCCAAATAAATTAACCTAGAAGATTTAGGCTTCGTTTGGGACGAGTTTTTTTTACTTCTTAAAGCAGCTTTTTAGTACACAAATTAAAATCTATGTACTAGAAAGCTGCTTTAAGAAGCGATAGAAACGCCGTCCCAAAGAAAACCTTAATACAATAGATCAATTGACAATTGTTTAAGTAGAATTAGTTCAACACTAATTCTTAATAATAAAACTAATTTATGGTTGTTAGTTTATTTATTCATGTCTTGTATTAGAGGGGGAACATGATGAACTTTATCACAACAATTAAGAAGCCCTATTATTGTTCCCTTATCGGGGACTAAGGCTTTGTTGATTTCTTAAGGGAATGGTTATGGTTTAATTTTTCTTTCTATAGTTCTTTATCAAGATTTTGATTTTGTTTGTGATAGTTTTTTTGCTATTTTGTTAAACTATTATAAAGAAAGTAATTTTTTAGAACCGTTGAAAAAATATTAAATTGAATTTATAATTATGATCTGAAAAGTAAAACAGTAAAAAATTATATCGAATGAAATCTTTTGAAGGTTTTTATGGAAATTTGAGTCAATTAAAGAAACTCACACACACAACATGAGGTGCATAAATCTTTTTCATACACGAGAAATTATTACATGTTGTCATCAAACGTTGTCCAAAGATCAATGAAGACGTACCATGTCACTAATACATTGTGTATCAGTATTGTGTACCGCTATGTATCAGGTGATGTCAGATGTCTTAATTGACCTCCAAACCATTCGTTGACCGCAGGGGAAATTTTAAAAATGATCATTATTAAAGTTTAAATTAGGAGAAGGAACATGAATAAAAAAAAATAAAAAAGATCTTACATGAATATAGACTTTGCGTTTGAGTTTTGCTTTAAAAAGAAATTTGTTTTTGCGTTAGCTTAGAGATCTGGAGAGAGAGAAATAGATAAAAGCAGAGAGAAAATTTAGAGAGAGGGATGGAGGGAGGGAAAGAGAGAGAGTCAGAGAGAAATCAAGAGAGAGAGAGCGAAATTCATTTAAATTTAAATAATTTAAATTTACATTTAGAAAATTTTAGTTAAATTTATAGTAAGTTTTTAATTATATTGTATTGATGTGATTTAAGTTAAATAATATTTATATAGACTTGAGCGCACGTAATAATTTTTCTTTCTTGCACACCTCAAAGCTGGGTGGTCTGCCTGATGGCCACATTCCTGTGGGGCCCTGGAATCCTCCACCCACTTTCAAATTGTTTGAACGGCAGCCGCTACGCGCCAAAATCCTATACAGCGGAGGCGTACAGTAGACGCACGCGTCACTAGATTCCATTTCGTATTTCGTAGCTCTAAAGGAGATATATTATTTATGAAATTTCAAATCTCAAAGCAAATGAAAGGTCCAGACGCAGTTATATCTAGTTTATAAGAAAGTTCTAAATTTCACGTTATTGCGTCGTCAAAGTATTTTTTCAAACGGGCAAGATTTTTATTCATTGAATTTGGTTGGAATCTTTCAGATCAGAGTAATATACATACTCTTCCTTTAATTATTGGTAAATGTAAAATCATGAAACTATTTATTATGTAATATATAATAAAGAGATAAATTATTAAAATGTTTAATATAACGCAGCTCTTTTTTGATATACTGGGCTGAGAATTTTAACTATTAATAAAAAAGTTTTAAATTTGAAACTTACACATATGATATGTGTGTGCGTATGTCTTAGGTTTCATTCGGGGTGGTTTTATTGCTGTTTCTTAAAACAGTTTTCTAGTAAAAAAATTTAATTTTTATACTAAAAGGCTGTTTTAAGAAGTAGTAAGAAAGCCGTTCCAAATAAGGCTTTAGACTTCATTTGTGACAGCTTTCTTACTACTTCTTAAAACAACTTTTTGATACCAAAATTTAATTTATACTAAAAAACTGATTTAAGTAGTAAGAATTAGTCTCAAACGAATCCTTAATTAGCTCATAAAAAATTAATATAATTAACAAAATCAATATCATAAAAAATTTAACAAGAATAAATATTTTAAAATATTTTAGTAATCCCAACTCATTTTTTTATACTACGCTTGAGCAAGTTGATGCTCTTAGAGCACGTGTGCTAAAAATTAGTCTATTTGAGTCAATTTGCCTACTCTTTTAACTATTTCATAATATCTACTCTCTTAATTATGTTATTTCTCAAGTCAATATATCTTATTAAGAGTTTGTTTGGGATAATTTTCTTATTATTTTGTTTTTCAAATCGTAATCACAATACTAATTGTTGTGTGCTAGGAAATACGCGGCGGTAGAGTTTGTAAATTCGCGTCCGAGCGTTACACGTAAATATAACACACAAACAGGAAGATAAAAGAACACCAGGATTTGTACGTGGAAAACCCAAAAAGGGAAAAACCACGGGGCCTTGCCCAGTTGTAAAATTCCACTAGCGCTTTTGTAAATTACAAGAAACTGATTCGTCCCGCAAATTGGGACGATCAGATTACAACTTGAAGCAAATTTACAAAGTTTTCAGAATCCCATCGTTTCCTGAAAATCCGGCAGAGTTCCGGCGTATTCAGGCGGCAGGAAGAGCTCCGGCGGTAGTCGAGGAGGAGAGGAATCGCCTTCTTCTTATGTTCTTCTTCTCTCTCTTCACTTGAGTTCCGTTGGTGTAGAATTAGGGCTCTATTTATAGTTTTTCTGGAGTGGCATAGCCTGTAAATAGGCGTGAGATCAGGGGCGAATTGGGAGTATTTTGAATGGACGGCCGATATCGAATCCTTTGATCATGCACCGTTTGTTGGGCATTTGAAAGCCTTAATGATGTAGGAATTCGGAGATCTTGGGCTCGTTCAATTCGTCTAGTTGAGCCGTTCGATTTGAGTATAAGCTATTCAAAATCAGAGACCGTTTAGTAACTCAAATTGTGGTTTGAACCTTCCAATAGCGCTTTGAGCCCTTGATTCGGACTCATTTGGGTTCGGATTGGGTTGATCTTGGTGTTGTTGGGTTCGTATTTCCGAGACGCTCAGTTTGACTGTTAGCTCGCTGAAATCGAAAATCGGGTGCTTCCAAAATTAATTTTTGAAGTTTCCAACTATCTTTTTCCTCGAGATTCGTGCCCGATCAAGATAATTTTTGATGCTGTATCACTAATATTTGACTACTATTTTTTCATTACTTTCAAAAAATATATGCTAAGATTATTTTTTATAACAACTTTCAAAAAAAATTATTTTCCTCGAAAGAATTTTTTAACCACCTTTACAAAAAAAAATTACAGTAATTTCAAACTGGCCCTAAATCTGTTGTAGTAACTATACTCTTTTAATATACTTAAATATTTGCTCTCATCATTAAGAAATAATATTATGCATGATATAACATGCTCAAAATAAAATATTCTATGTGAGTGAATATATATATATAATGATTAATTTATTTTTTATAAATTTTTGTCAATTATTTTAATTAGAATATTTCAGTATAATTTTTTAAAAATATATTATAATTTATGGGTGGGACATAAGCCACGTAATAAATAATTTGTGCGGATTACTTTTATTATTTTATTATTTTATTTATTTGACTTGAAGCGAATTTCGCTGCACGCTCCGAAGCTGAGTGGGCATGGCCCACATTCAAGTGGGGCCCTTCAATCATCCATCCCCCTGACATAATCCTTGCAACGGAGACGTACAGGAGAAGCATCCGCCATCCGTTACTAGGTTCCATCTGTGGAATTATGTTTATGATATTTACAATCTTAAAGCATATGAAAGGTTCAGAGGTAGTTATATACTTATATCTAGTTTATAATAAAGTTTTAAATTTCAGGTTCCCGTTAATACGTAACGTGGTCAGATTTTTATTGGTTGCATAAGCTTGGAATCTATCAGCACTATTTTTTTGTGGGGATTTACATACATACGTATTTGATATTATTTATATATGTAATATCTAAAATTTTAATATTAGTACCAACCATTATTTATAATGTCGATGGAACATAGTTATTTATACATATTTAAGAAAATGTTAATATTAATATTTTTTAATAACATTTTTTTTTAAGAAAACGTTATTATTTCATAAAAATGTTAAAGAAAATACATAAATAATGATCAAAACAATTTTTTTTAGAAATTGAATTAGTACGAAGAATAAGGGGAGTGATAGAATTATAATTAATTAAGCTAAAAAAAGCTCAAACTTCTAAATCTGAAACTACAGGAGAACGTCTACTTCAAAAGCATCTCCATTTTCTAACCTCACATCCTCATGGAAATGACTGCAACGCTAGAAAGATTTGATTTTTTTTTTTTTTTTAATTTCAAACGACCAACTTACAGGCTAATAGAAAGAATCCGTGGTAAAAATTAGATTTTGCATACATAATACACCGAAATTTCACTGCCCCCAGAGATCCTCCGCCTCCTCCGGTAACTGTTGACGTACGTTGTCGACCTAATCATTTCTCCGGCTTCCTTGGACTTGCCATTTTTTTTAGAGCTGATTCTCTCTTTGCACAAAACGAATCATTCTCTCTCTCTCTCTCTCTCTCTCTCTCTCTCTCTCTCTCTCTGTCTATAAATATCTGTCAACAAATTAAGTGATTTCATCTATTCCAATGGCGTTGCCAACCCTCCTCCGCTTCATATCGCTTCTCCTCGTGAGCACTGCATCATTAATCTCTGCGGTGCCAGAGGACGCTTTGGTCTCCCACCTGCCTGGCTTCAATGGAACTTTTCCGTCGAAGCATTACGCTGGGTACTGATCAATATCCCTTTCTTTATTTAGGTTTTGGCGGAATCTGTACTTATGATTAAGTGTTAATTTGACCTTTTTTTTTTTCTCATTCTTCTGTTTTTTGAAGGTATGTGACAATTGATAAGAACCATGGGAAGAATCTATACTACTACTTCGTGGAATCGGAGCGGAATCCGGAGAAAGACCCTTTGGTACTTTGGCTGAACGGGGGCCCAGGCTGCTCTAGCTTTGACGGCTTCGTCTATGAGCATGGTAATGGTTTTTTATTCTTTGGAATGTTTGAATTCTTCTCAAAGGTGGTGCCTTGTAATGGATTCCTTGCGGATGGTGCTTTTTTTTTCTTTCTTTCGTCCTTCATGAATGGGGATAAATTGGATTTTGTGATTTTTTTTTTGGCAATTAATTTGCTTTCTTTGCACTCTTGTGATTCTTACTTTGGGAGTTCAAGGGTAGCTTGGAATTCCTCTATTTTGGACTGTATTAAAACATATTAGTACGCTGCTTTCTTCTTCTGCCAGCAATTTGGTCTGTTGTTGTAGATTTATATTATCTATTCTATGTGGTTTGATTTATAGTTGAATTCATTTATTAATGCTCAGTACTTAGAGCTGAATGGCTTGCGAGTAGATGATCCTGTTGCATCTGTGGTCTTTATCTTAAAATGCATAGGTCCATTCAATTTCAAACCAGGGGGGAAAGCTGGAAGCTTGCCTGAGCTGCTTCTGAATCCTTACAGCTGGTCTAAGGTGGAACATTTGATATCTAGTATTAAAGTTTGAAGTTTGATGAAAATTTATACTTTTTCAATTTATTTTTTGATCAAGACTAGGTAGTGGGAGCTGAGTGACTTAAATTATATGAATACTAACAAGAATAATAGTTTTTAAATTCAGGTTTCTAGTATTATATACTTGGATTCTCCTGCTGGTGTTGGGCTGTCATATTCTGCAAATAAATCAGATTATATTACTGGAGATCTTAAGACTGCCTCAGATTCTCACCAGTTTCTTCTGAAGGTAATTTTTTGTAATCATCAGAAGAGAGAAAACAACTGTGATTGTTTCGCACTGACTGTTCTGATCTTTTTTTTTTTTTTTGGAATTATTATCATCAGTGGTTTGAGCTATATCCAGAGTTCCTTGGAAATCAATTTTATATATCTGGAGAATCATATGCTGGGGTATATGTTCCTACTCTGTCTGCTGCAGTTGTCGAAGGTATGCTGAATTTAGATAACATTATAATGACATTCAAATGTTTAATTTGATTTACCTGAAATTTTTTCTTTAAAAACAGGGATAAAAGGTGGAATTAATCCCAAAATAAATTTCAAGGTTAGAACTCAGATGCCTTCCCATTGTTCTGTGTCAATGTGCTTGTGTTTCTAACCATGCTTGTTGGTTTCTCTTACAACTTAGGCTTTGTTTGGGATGACTTTTTTATTGCTTTCTAAAAAAAATTGTACTAAAACTCCGTTTTAGAAAGCAATAAAAAAGCCGTCCCAAACGAAGCCTTAGACTTCATTTGGGACGGCTTTCTTACTGCTTCTTAAAGCGGCTTTATAATATAAAAATTTAAATTTTTTAACTAGAAAGCCGCTTTAAGAAGCAGGAAGAAAGCTGCCCCGAACGAAGCCTTAGTGTATCATTATGATGACATTCAAATATGTTTATCTATCTTTGTTTTTTTTTTTTTCGAAATTATTGTCATCAGTGGTTTGAGCTATATCCAGAGTTCCTTGGAAATCAATTTTATATATCTGGAGAATCATATGCTGGGGTATATGTTCCTACTCTATCTGCTGCAGTTGCCGAAGGTATGCTGAATTTAGATGACATTATAATGACATTCAAATGTTTAATTTGATTTAGCTGAATTTTTTCTTTAAGAACAGGGATAAATGGTGGAATTAATCCCAAAATAAACTTCAAGGTTAGAACTCAGATGCCATCCCATTGTTCTGTGTCAATGTGCTTGTGTTTCTAGAAAAATTATTGTGTGTGGCATCCGGATTCGTCCAGAGGCAATGTTACCCGGGGCCCGGTGCATCCGGGTGACATGGCGAGTCCGGATTCGTCTCCATACAGTTCGGACGCCGCACACAATTATAATCTCTCGTGTTTCTAACCATGCTTGTTGGTTTCTCTTACAACTTAGTGTATCATTACGATGACATTCAAATATGTTTATCTATCTTTGTTCAGGGCTACATGGTTGGAAATGGAGTTACTGACACAGTATATGATGGTAACGCTCTTGTGCCATTTGCGCATGGAATGGGTCTCATATCAGATGATATGTTCCAGGTTTGTAATTTTCCTGATTGATTATCATGTGCAGAAGGAATTAGCAAACTAGTCTGATCCTTAATATGTTCAGGGGACTAATGTTGCATGCAATGGAAGTTACTGGAATCCAATTAATACAAGCTGTGAAGAAAAGCTGAGCGAAATTGATTTGGTAATTTTGCAACAACCAAGACTACTGAAATCTAGTGAATCTCAGATTTATTTAACTTGTTCTATATATTTTCTGTCCATATCAGGACCTTCAGGATTTAAACATTTATGACATACTTGAACCATGCTACTATGGTTCTGCAAGTTCTGATGTTGTCTCTCACAAAAGCAAGTTGCCGTCAAGCTTCCGTAGGCTTGGTGAGACTGATAGGCCTCTTCCAGTGAGGAAAAGGATGTTTGGCCGTGCATGGCCTTTGTGGGCTCAAGTCATGGAGGGGCATGTTCCAACATGGCCAGAGCTTGGAAGCCCATCGGTTCCATGCATGGTATATTCGATGACAATCTTTTGAATTTTTGTCATCTCTGCATGCTTTAATATCCATTTAATACTATAGAATTTGTTTTCTTCAACTTTTTAGGCATATTTAGTGTTCCTTTGATTATGTTTGTTGTTGTTATTATCTTCTTCAATATCTGAAATTAGCATTGTTTACTTTACTTGTTTGATTTTTATCTGTACTTGTTTGTTATGTCTGTTCCATGCTTTGTTAAAAATAAGCTGTATATCATCATAAGGAACTTCAGAAAAACTTTATGTTACATAGTAGTTTTCCTTGTGTTCTGTTCTTTCCAATTCCGTGGGTCTTTCGATACAATCAAATAGATTGTCACAAGGGCGCCATATTCTAGAAGCCCAAACTATGTGATTGAAGAAATCCTCCTCTATCTGTTGCTGATCAAGGGCCCCTCCCCCCTTCTTTAAATTCCGATTCGTATTTTTCATATAGAAATCTCTAATCAACGATAGAACAAGATCCATTTTGCATCATATCTAACTGATTCAACCTAATCCTAGTATGGCTTAATCCAACAGTGTGAGCCAAGTATGGAAATATATTATAATATTGGAAAAACAACTCCATTTGAACAATATTCATGTGAAATTACACAATTTCTTTTCAGCGAAACCACTTTCAGAAATTCCTCTGAAATTTTCAAAACCATATGGATTGACTATCTTTATATGCCTGCAGAATGACGAGGTTGCAACTTTATGGTTGAACAATGAAGAAGTAAGAAGTGCACTTCATGCTCAGCCGGTAACCTTTGCTGCTTTATGAGTGCGTCCTATTCGGACTCTGGTTTTAAGAGATACAAGTTGATATAGTTTTGCCCACTTTTGTTTCAGAAAAGTGTGACGGGTCCTTGGGAGCTATGCACCGATAATATAGATTTCAGTCATGATGCTGGAAGCATGATCAAGTATCACAAGAACTTGACTGTCCAAGGTTATCGTGCACTAATTTTTAGGTACTGATGCTTTTTCCAGGAGTATGTTACTACAATATTTTCATATTATTTATGTGAAAATATTATATAGTCAGCATGAATAAATTAGTATTGATATTACAATGTCAATGTAAATGTTATCAAACAAACAACACTTGAGAAGTGATAGGAAATACTTGAGTTCGCAAGTAATTCTATCGGATTTACTTGAGTTCGCAAGAAGCCCTAACAATAATTGGTTCAAAACAGCAATAAAAACAAGAAAAACTGGACAAATCAATCTAGAAAAGATAGATTGCGATAGTGGAAATAAAGCAAAGCAAAACTCAAAGCAAGATACAATTGATCCTCAATTCGAGAGGAGGATCGTCTCTCCCAAATCTCTAGACGAGAAAGTCTAGAGCCCAAGTTGCCAAGAAACCCTAATTCCAATTAATCTTCCCTAATCCTCTCATCCTCTTTAATATAAAAGCTTTCCTAATCTAATTTCCCTCTCAAGCCCTAGCCGCCTCCTCATTTTCAATTTGAAATCAATTTGAACAAGTGGGGCCCACCCTATTGGTGGGCCAAGTCAAGGAAGGCAGACTGCTTCTGCCTCCTGTAGATCAACTGAGGGCCGGTTCAAGGTGAACCGGCCTAACAAGAAACTCTAAAATATTTAGCTAAACAAGCAACACTTGAGTCAATCTACATTATTGACTCCATGAATATTTCTTCTTGGCCTCCCAGCAGTGCACTACACAAGCCAAATAAGCCAATGTCAATTTATTGGAGTCATTTTATGTGAGCTTGCAACAGCATCATTATCAGAATGATCTAAGAACTCCTTACTCTTTATGATTGTTATTGATGCTCATAAAAAAATTTTGCAGTGGTGACCATGACATGTGTGTGCCCTCCACTGGTACTCAAGCATGGACAAGGTCATTGGGATATAAAATTACTGATCCATGCTGCATTGTTGTTTGACCTGTGGTGCAAAGCGAGAGCTATTACTACAAAAATGGACAGCTTGCTCCACAAATATATTTTTCATTCTCATGAAGCCATATTGATGGTGCACATGTGGATAGGCACTTGTGTTATGCATTTTCCAAGCAAATTTATCTTGATATGAAAGGATTGTGAAAAAATAAAGTGATAGCAACTAAACAGAAACTTTTAGGTGTCAGTGCTTATTCATCAATGGTCTAAATATGTTATATTGCAACATCATCATTATCAGAATGATCTAAGAACTCCTTACTCCTTATGATTATTATTGATGCTCATAAAATTTTTTTGCAGTGGTGACCATGACATGTGTGTGCCCTTCACTGGTACTCAAGCATGGACAAGGTCATTGGGATATAAAATTACTGATCCATGGAGGCCATGGTATGTTGCAGAACAAGTTTCTGGGTATGTTAACATCTAACTCTTCATTTATCTTGCTTCTTTAGAAGCTTTTTCTATCATGAGCAGGATATCATAAATTGAGATAAATCTTCTTCTAAACCTGCATTTCACATGAACTTGATTAGTTCTATCTTTTGCCTCATAGCAGGCTCCATATGTACTCATGGAAAGTACATGATAGTCATATACAGTAAGGCAACCAAACTACCTTGCTTTCAGCATGATTTACCTACCCAAAAATGGTGCAAAACTCAGGCACTAAAACCAGAAAAAAATATTTGCATTTTTAGTTACAAGTTTTTCCTAACAAATTTGTTCTTTCACATCATATGTAACATCACAATATTCCAATTATAGATAAAGTGAAGAAATTTCACATCAATTATCTGATTTCAGGTTCACTCAAGGCTATGACAAGAACCTCACTTTCCTCACAGTAAAGGTATCAGTTCTGTAGTCGATAACCAACTCCCCTATTACTTCCCAAAGATTAAATTTCAGTTGTTAATTTCAAAAAGCTCTACATCCTCAATTCTCAGGAATAAAATGACAATCTTCCAATGTAGGAAGCAATATCTTTAACTGGTCTTACAAGTCTGGTTTCATTTGGAACGACTTTCTTACTGCTTCTTAAAGCAATTTTTCAGTATAAAAATTAAATTTTTTGTACTAAAAATTTACTTTAAGAAACAGAAAGAAGCCGTCCGAAACAAAATTCATTTTACTTATCCTCCCTATCAAATATTATGAAGTTATTACAACACAAAAATTGTGTTCTCATGGTACTATTGCATGGTGCAGGGTTCAGGCCATACGGTTCCAGAGTACAAGCCACAAGAGGCACTGGCTTTTTATAGCAGATGGCTGGCTGGTTTAGCTATATAGTAGTTCAAAATAGATCTCTCATTTTTCTTATAGTGGAAACATTGTCTCCTGCAAATATGATTTTATGACATCAGGACATTTAATAGAGCTCCTGTTTATGATATCATCATCTCTTCTCATAGTTCATGGATTTTCTCCTGGCTTTATATGAACAAAAGTGTTCAAATAAATGATCCATATACGATAAAACTATATTAAAAAGCAGTAAGAAAGCAGTTCCTAACAAAGCCTAGAGTTTTAAAGGTCGTCCATTTGGTTTGTGTTGCAGAAGAAGAAGAAAATATTTTAGAAACTAATGATTTTATTTTATTTTTAATTTTTGTGAAATATCAAATTATCACTTTTTAAAGCAAGGGGATTTTGAAATCTTTATGTTTCTTATCAAATTCGTTTGAACGGTTAAATCTAATTAATTTTATTCTCTTAATGACAGTTTTATTCACAAACAGTTAAATCAGGCTCAAGTGAAAAACAGAGATGATGGAATCATGATTTTATCATTTCTGATAGGAAGGATTTTATTTTTTAAATCAAAATTAATCCAAAATAAATTGAATAAAAACCAATTTAAAATTAAATAGAACTAATTTAAATCATAATTGATTTATTTATTTTTCAATAGGAAACTAATAGCTAGACTGAAATCACCATTACATAGAATATGGCAAGACACAGTAAAATTCTCTTTGTGCAGAATGAATGAACAATATTGCGAGGGTGAAGAAAAGAACATTTTTACATGAACTAAATAGTACATATCAGGAACTACTGATTGGAACATCTTAACACAATTAAAAACAAAGGGAGATTACAATCAATGATACAATAAGATATAACAGAAAGAAATAGAACATATTGCAGTGATGACTGAGTTGGGATTTTACTAAAATTCCAATCCTACTCATGAATGGTACAAAGAACAGCAGGAAAGAAGGTGAAAGAGAACGCCCGAACGCACTAATAAAGTCGGTACTGCTCTCATAATTTTGCCAAAATCAACAGAGCAAAAATAACATGCCAGCTGCTTCACTTCTTAGCCTTGTTTCTTGCAGAAAGCTGCTTCTCACCTTCAGCAAACCTTGGTAGGGTCAACAAGGTGTTCGACCGGGTTACCCCCTCCAAAGCCGACCAATCGTCGCCATCCATGGCTGCAGGAAGCTTCTCAGGTGAGCTAGACCTGATTTCCTGGCCTGGGAAGATAGCTGGGGAGCTATTCAGAGTGGATGGATCCTGTTTATCAATATCTGTAGCTAGCGCTTCGGTTGATGATTCTTTCAATGTGGGTTCATCTGTGTCGAGAAACAGACAAACAACAGCACAGTCATCTACTTTGGAGGTTGGGTACTTTAACCTCCATGCGCGAACTGCGTGCTCGACCAAGGAACGGGAAGCTGAAGATCGAGCTGCGGCGGAAGCAACAATGTCCACCACTTCCTTGTTGGAGAGCACATCCCAGATCTGAGGATTAGTTAGCAAACAAGAAGTTACAGTTCATGAGAACTAACAGATTGTCTCGCAGTTTGAAACAAGCTTACAAAAAAATGATAACAAAGGAAAGATTATAGTCCATTGCATTACCCCATCAGTAGCCAATACAATGAACTCATCCTTCTCAGTGATGCGATGGTAGGAAATTTCAGGCACCGAGATCAGGCCAAAGTCCTTGAGACAGAAGTCTCCAAAAGCACGAGCCATAGCCAAGCCTGGTGTGTCATAATTTGGCAACCAAACCCGAGCTACTTCGGGCTCATCCCGAAGAGCGAAGACCCTCCCTCTGTATCGTTTGATTCTCTCTGCTTCTTCTGTGAATCAATAAGAAGATTTTCTAATTTAAATTATGCAATATGGAACAAGAACCAGAATATCAACATCTAGCAGAAAGATTGACGATACCAACATCTCAATGAAAATATATAACAGTTGTTTACATTATCAGTTAATGCAATTTTTCCGTTTTAAATACCATAGCATCCGGGATCAGGCATAAGCTTCTTAGCAAGTCTAATACCAAGAAAGTCAAAAGGTTAATCTCTAGACCATCCTTAATTAAAAGAACCTGCGACCACAAGCGCCAAACAATTGGGAAGTCGAATTTATGAGCACCGTTAACTCTTGCGATTTATTCAGCATTTCAGCAACTATGGTTTTTGATGGAAAATGTTTGACCACATTGCACCAAGTCAGGCAAACAAGTAAGAATACAGATTCTTAATGAGCAAGAGCTTTATCACATTAGCACCAGATTCTACAAAATACTCATCAGGAAATAACTCAAAGCAAAATAGAAAAATAAATAAATGGTCTGACAAAGGCTTGCCATACAATAAATTTGAGGCTGGTTGTGGGCTCTCAAAATTCACGCCCCGGCTTCCACTGCTTTTGGGAGAATTTTAACAAATTAAGTTATGGTGTAAGTTTTCAGAAGGCATATTTGGTTTGAAATAAGACACTACCCAGAGATTTTGCCCTCATTTTGAGGGGACTTTATGATCTGAGTTTTGATTTCCTGTAGGCGCAAGAAGGGACATAGCATGTGCCCTCTTATCGGATAATTTTACCGCAAAATGACACCATTATATTATGATCACGACCAAAGCCCGTATGTTCTCTAATGGCGTCAAACCCATGAGTAATGAATCATACGATATATTCGATAGACATAAAGCTCTCTATCAACTAAGGTTGATTCAGATACATCCCCTTAGACAAACACCACCCCAGGTCCACAAGGTATTCTTATAGATGAAGCAACACATGGATGTTGATAAGATGCCTTCTGTCAGGTTGGGTCGACTACCTTCTCTGACTACGTAGACCATGGACTATGATAGCCAAGGACGACAAAACCATGAGATCTTGATCGGGCTTATCTTCGCTCCTCCCATCACCTGTTTTAAGTTTATGATGATAAACTTTAAAATTCAAACTCAAATCCTAAAACTGTCGCTATTATACGTTAGATTTGCAACCTATGCGACCTATCTAACGACTAGACTTAATCGAAAGTTCTCGCTATACCGGGAGGGTAATTAACTATAGGGGCTTGCTCCTATAGGAAACCAAAACTCATATCATAAAATCCTCACAAAATGAGGGTGAAATCTTTGGATAGTGTCTTATAAAAAAAAATCCAATCTTCCTTCTAAAAATTCACCCGGAACCTAAGCTCGTTAAAACTATCCTTGCCTACTGGAAAAAGAAAAAAAGAAAAAAAATAAAGAGAGTGCTGAGAGGCCGGGGCACAAAATTTTCGGAGCTCACAAAAAGAAGTAAAATAGGTTTGCTAAGAGTATAATAGGAGAACAATTTACTCATTCTCACCAAAGAATTATTAGAGATAGTCATTAAGAAATTATAAATCAAGCTAAGAAGCAATAACATCCATTCATTAGCCCGAGGAGTGTGAAACACGTAAAATTTCCACCTAGTGAGACCCAGACTCAACAAGACTTCCACCCACTTTCCTTCATCTTATGTTGCCACCTCATTAATGCATGTTGTTTACTCATCTATCTATTGACAATTGCAATTATTATTTTTCCAATTCATCAATTCGTTGATTACTGTAACTTATTATGAAACTATTATTCTTTAACTTTATATGTTTCCTATTAAAAGTTCTATTAGGATAATATAAATACTACATAAATATTATAATAAAATATAATTATTTATTCTAAAGTCTTGTAAAAAATTATGATAATTATACCCACAAATGGTGAGAAATACTAGTGAATCTTTAAGAGAATGCAAGGACATTCAACATGTTTCATTCACAATAACTGCATCAATCATGATGGGATCAGACCAAGAGCTACAAGATAACAAAGCCAAAATGACATTGCTTCACTGCACCATGCGTCTGTTTCTCAAAAATTGTAATAAGAAATATGATACAACAACAAGCCTTTATCCTATTTCGTGGGGTCGGCTACATGAATCTTTTTTCTTCATTGTCTCCTATTAAGAGTCAAATTTTCATTTAAATCCAATAAAGAAAAGTCATTTCTAATATATTGTAACCAAGTCTTTTTAGGTATACGTTTACCTTTTTTAGCATAAGCCAAATCTAATACATCTACTCTCCTAATCAGGTTATCAAAAGGCCGCCATGTTATGTAACCAAACTATCTAAGGTGACTCTCTTTAATATTATCTGCTACTGGTGCAGCTCCAACCTTTTCACGTATATGCTCGTTTTGTATCCTATCTTTAAGAGTAAAGCCACTCATCCACCTGAGCATCCTCATCTTTCCAATACTTAACTTAATAGCATGCTTCTTTTCAATGGCCAACATTCTGCACTATAAAGCATTGCAGGTCTCACCACCATCTTACAAAATTTCCCCTTAAGTTTAATAGGGACTTTTCTATCACACAACAAGCCCGATACATTCCACCACTTCAATCAACCAACTTGAATTCTACTAATAATATCCCCATCTATTTCACCATCACTTTGAACAATATACCCAAGATATCTAAAACATGTACTCTTATTAATGACTTGATCTAACAAAGTCACAATCCCTCTACTAGATCTATTACTACTAAAATTATACTCATATATTTGGTCTTAAATGTACTCAAGCGAAACCCTTTAGACTCTAAGGTTGACCTCCATAATTCAATTTACCTTCAACCCCCTTTCTAGTCTTATCAACAAGAATAATATCACTAACAAAAAGCATACAATAGGGTACGACCTCTTGCAAATGTCTAGTGAGAACATCCATGACTAAAGCAAAAAGATCTGGGCTGAAGGCTGATCATTGATGTGATCCAACTGAAATAGGAAAATACTTGATCAAACCACATTGTGTTTGAAAATAAATAATAACTCCTACATACATATCCTTAATGACTTGAATATAAGCATTATTAACCCCTTTCTTTTCTAGAGCTCTCCATATCACTTATCTTGAAACTTTATCATATGCTTTCTCTAAATAAAAAAATATCATATGTAGATCCTCCTTATTCTCTCTATACTTCTCCATCAAACCTTTCAATAAATGTATAGCTTCCATAGTAGACCTACCCGACATGAATCCAAATTGATTTTGAGAAACATTAGTATCACATCATAACCTACGCTCCATAACTCTCTTCCATAGTTTTAAAGTATGACATATTAACTTAATTCCTCTATAATTTGCACAATCTTGTACATCACTTTTATTCATAAAAATAGAAATCAACAAACTCATTCTCCACTCATCTGACAACTTTTTAGTTTTCAAAATAATATTAAAAATTTTAGTAAGCCAAGAAATTCCTTCATCTCCTAGACATTTCCACACATGCATAAGAATACCATAAGGTCCAATAGCTTTCCACACTTCATTTTCTTTAAACTTTTCTAACTTCAATTTTACTAATACGTCGATAAAATTAAAAAACTCTAATTTAATTTAGGATGCTAAGATCACTAAAATCAATTGTATTCTCACAATCTTTATTGAAAAACATCGCAAAATATCTCATCTACCTTGATTAAATATCTTCTAATAAAAGCACTTTTTGATCTTTATCCTTAGTGCACTTCACTTGAAATAAATCCTTACTACACCTATCTATTTGTTTGACTAACTTCTACAAATATCTTTTGTCCTCCTTAGTATCTAAACTATTATATTAAATAATTAAAAACTAAAATCTTTGCATCGCATATTATTTTCTTAAACTCCTTACGAACCTCTTTATATCTTTCTTAATTTTCAAAATTCTTACACAAACCAATTTTTATAACAAAGCTTTTTATTTTTTATTTTTTCTTGCACATTTTGATTTCACTACCAACTACTTTTAACTTTTACTATAATAAACTTTTCCTTTTGATACTCCAAACACATCTTTTACAAAATTCCTAATATCACTAGCTACTTTTTCTCATATAATATTAGCTTCATCATACATAAACAAAATATTAAGATCTAAAATCTTACTCTCAAAAATATTTTTATTAATGTTCTTTAAATGCCCCTATTTAATCCTAAATAACATTTTATTTTATTTTTCATATTTTGCCCCTTCATGTTAAAGTCTAAAACTAATTAGCGATGTAGGATACATAGACTTTCATTCGGAATAACTTTATAATCTTTGTAATTTGAACGATCTATTTTTCTTATATTAATTCTTTACTATATTCATTCTTATAAGTGATGAAATGTTCATATCTTTTCTTAAATAAAGTATCAATAATTATAAAACTATAAGCTAGAGCAAAATCTAATATGATCTTACCACCTTATTTAGTCGCTCCAAACCTATAACCACTATGAATGTTTTTAAAATCATCTACCTCTATACTAACATGTCCATTTAAATCTTATCCAATTGAACTCTTTCTTCAAGAGGTATCCCTTATATTAATTTTTCAAAGTCATTCCAAAATTTACTTTTAAACATATATGCAAACCTACACGACGTGCATGAGTACTTATAATATTAATAATATTAACATCAATAATATTTAAAACTATAATTTTACCTCCAATTCTATTAATCTTTACAATATTATCTTTCAAACTCTTATTTATAATAACACATACACCATTTTTATTATAACTCCTACTAGAATACCATAGCTTTAATCATAAACTATCAATCTCCTTAGTCTTTTATTCAACCCATTTAGTTTCCAGAATGCATAGAATATTTATCTTCATATGCATCATAATATATGTTAATTCTATTAATTTACCTATAAGAAAACCTATATTCTAAATTCCTATCCTAGTTCTAATTTAATATACTAGCTTTTTTGCTCATATTTGTCTATGATGTGGGAACCCTTGCCTATTTAACACTGCATCCGGGCGTCGGTGCAGCAACCCTTACACACTTCTCGTTTTATTCAGGTCATGCAGAGTGTCACTTACAGGGAACGTCTTAGCATTAACACAAAGTATTAAAGGATTCATGTCATAATTATTTAACAAGTTTTACGTTGGTTGACGACTACTTAACGCAGTCCACCATTTTTCTCATCCAAGATTTGGGACCTGGCAACAACAGATGATCAATGAAGAAAATTTAAAAGAGATGATGGAATCTGAATTAATACAAACTATTATAGTCCAAGGAATATATAAGTTATCAACATCATTTACTGGTTTATCACAACTCTTTGCTCATATGACAGTTGATACTTCAGAAAAAAAAGGTAGCCCTAAAGACAGTTATATCCTGTTATTATAATTAAATTCCAAAACGAAAAAAAATAAGAATAATAATTAAATTCCAACGGGGGTATTCTTTTTTTTTTTTTTTTTTTTTTTTGAAGAGTAACGGGGTATTCAAAAAGCGAACAAGAAAGCACAATATACACAGCATGGTATTAATCACATTTTATGACCAACAGTTAATAACTAATGCAGAAGTAAAATAATGACATTGCCAGTGTTTTCAGAATATCAAGGTGACCTTTTTATACAATACTTTCTTTTAATTGAAGGGAGAAGTCATTGAATCAATCGTATTGGTGGCTAGTTTGTTATCAGAAATAAAAGTCAGTCTATGCTAAATATTTACCATCTCCATGATATAAATCACAGAAAATATATTCATCAGATAGAAATTAAGAAAGAGTGAGATATTGCTATTTCAATTCCGATAGAGCTAATGAGGAAAAATCTTATGTTACTTGCCAAAAACAAGAAATTGTGAACGTGCATAAACATATAATGGAATATGTATAGAACATGAAGTTGAAGTTCATACTAGGAAGATTTGGCTTGAGGTCTACAGTCAACTGAACTGCAACCAAGCTGTCATTGTGATCTCTAGTACCCAAAACAGCTCTTGAATCTCCAACATTTCCAATTACAAGATCTTGACCCTATAGTGCAGGTCCACGCAGAAAAAGCCAGTTCAGAAAAGATTGTGCAGTTTCATTACAAGGAAGACAAAATAATCATAAAACAATCTTAACCTGCTTTAAGAGGGTGACTGCAGTTGTACCACTACAAAAGCAATCGATATTTGGATGCAATTTTAATTCTTTATCCATGACCTTGAATGCCTTCAAGAATGATTCCTTCAGAGTGGTGAAGACCTCTGGAAGCTTCTCCTCTTCAAAATCACTGGAAGCCTTTAATTCATCATCTAAGAATATAGATGTTGTTTCTTCTGAGGTTAAGCTTCCTGTCGTGCTAATGCTGTTCCGTTTTAACTCATCACCTCCCAGGTTCACTTCCCAATTAGCTCTCAGTTTAAGAGGAAGACAATCCCTCACTCTCCTTGCAACCAGATGCCCAAATGGCCCATGTCCATCAAAAACCCCACAGAAAACTGTGTCTGTCCTTGAACCAAAATTCTACAAGCACAAAATAAACATTTTCACAGTTGCCAAAAGGAAATTAAATCTGACGCGCACAAAATTCAGAAATTCATCAAAGAGAGCTAGCTGACAAAAAAACAAAAAGGGCAAAATGTTTAGGAGCCTGTAATGACTCAAAAAAAAAAACTTTAAGCATGATTAATAAATAATTAAATAATATTAAAAAGATATTTAAGTTTGATTAATAGGCTAATTAAATTAACTAAATGTAAATAATTTAAGGCCTGATTATTTTGCTTTTTAAGTTAATTAAAGAGCAATTTTGATCAAATAATATTTGATTAAGTTATAAATAAATCACATGTTATTATCTAAATAAATTTATATGAACAAGTCAATTTTGAGTTGATCAAATAAATCAGCTACTGCAGTAAGATCGAAGCTCCCACTAAATACGTACACAACTTATGATGTGAAATTAGATAAGAAGACAACATTAATTCCATTCCATGATGAATTGAAATAAGCATGCAACACTATGTAAGTCGAGATGGAAAGAGGGGTGAGACACAACTCACGACAAACAAGGATGAGCTATGGTGGTGGAGAGTTTGATCAAAAGAGAGACGCAGAATGGGAGATGGAGCGGCGAGTGCAATAGGAGAGATTAACAAAAGAGAATGGGCTAGCATCAGATGGAGAGAGAGAGAGAGAGAGAGGGGTAAAAGCAAGAAAAGGAGATGGGTGAAGTGAGATCAACTACCAGAGAGAAACATGGAAGAAAATCTGCTGAGGGCTTGCAAGTTCATTTCTTCTACATCTTTCATGGCAATTTTATTCATTTTATTGTGCTTAAACATTCCCCTAACTCATTGTTTCATGATCCAAACTTGAGTAGAGTTCAGGGCTTTTAAATCTTACTAAGCCATTTGTCAAGGTACAGTTCATGGCAAATTGCATAATCATATATTCCTCCCAACTTTCTAGGAACAGCCAAAATAAAGTGAAATCCCTTGAGGAATACTTTTGGACATTCTCTTCAAATCACCAAATCCAGGGAGCTACTCTCAAACTACTATGGGGTCTTTATTGCCAGCCTTCATCCTGTCCATATACTCATCACTAATATACAATATAATTATATAAACGACTCTTACACTGACCACATTCACTGTGTTGAGGCTCAGTTATGGCCAACGAAGCTATCAATGCTCGCTAAAAATAGTTTGAGCAACCTTCAGACAAATGTAAGAACTTGTAGCAAGAGACTGGATGACCTCCCTAATGGAGAAAATAGGAAAAACCAAGAGAGCAACAGTTCCCACCAACCTCGATGGTCCCATCAATAATATCAGACACATGTCCGCACCCGCTAAATGCATCTATGCGTAACATCCTCATGGAAAAATAGAATGTCAAACACCTCAAATAGTCAAAGCCATTATAAAACCCAGATGGTGAGGATCAATCTTTATATGTCATTTTCATCATTCAAATGAATATTCAATAGAATAATGTATTCATCTAAAGGATAAGGTCAAATATTTGACTTTCCAAAGATACTTGGACAGCTATTTGTAAGACCAGTCTGTAGGTCTCCGACCTTACAACAAAGAAGATTATAAGAGCCTGTCACCCTGGCTAAGGAAGTCCTCGGGACCATCAATACTACCATAGGAGTACCAACACAACTTATAGATTCTCATGTTCAAAAAGACATATAAGAAAATAATAAAATTACTTTTGGCAATTCTAACTTTGATAGGATAGATTATCTGCCTCAAGATTCTCTTATTATCCAGATTAGAATTAGGACTCTCCTTTCACATATACTACAAAAGCCCTAGATGACATGTAATTGATGGGTATTTTATCCTTTACAGTCAACTCATCTAGTTCAATTCATGGTGGTAGACATTGGCTCGAACTGTGATGTGTTATTTGATAAACCTCCCATTCAACTTCACGACAATCTTATATATTTCCTACTTAAAAATTAAGTTCCTTGTGCTAAGGGGTATAGGAGAGATAAGGGGAAAGCAATTACTAACATGTTTATGTCACCTCTAACAAACCAACGAGCCATTGGTTGCTCTTATAAAAATTTATCCTGCAATAAGTGACTTCAGGAAGTCAAGAAAACTCAAAGGCTAGCTTGTGGGATTATATATCCGTGGGATTATATATCCTTCATGGATCTTCAAACAGCCGATCTCCATTTCCTTTTAAGTATAAAAAAAAAAAAAAAACCTAGCATCATTGACTCGCTCAATCAAAAAAATAATGTGGAGAACTCAAGCCACTAAATTGCTCACATACCACTATTCTATCAACTATTTATATGATGAAAGCCTATCACCAGCCTCACCCATTGAAACGATCTCGAAAAAACTCTTCTCTATATTGTGATTTTCATAGAAGTCACAACAAATTCATTGGGCATTGCACTTTAAGAAATAAGCAGAACACCCCATCTTACTAGGATTTTTAAGAGAATTTATATCTCATTAAGATCTCTTCTATGTCTTAAATCAATGATAAAAAATTATATTTTCATTCATAACAAGATTTACTTTCTTGCAAATATGTTTACACATTATCATTTATAGAACACCTATATCTTTCTTGTCAAATCATCATATACCTCAAACTATGTTGCACCGATATGGATACGGCGACACGCATACAACACGATACGGATACGGGACACGTCAATTCTTAAAAATATAGGATACGGGTACGGCGCGGACACGACATCATAATTTATAAATCATACATAAAAATTAAGAAAACAATCAAAGCAATATTTGAAATTACAAAAAAAATGACAACAACATCATTCGTAGCCTTGTAGCCTATAATATCAAAATATAAGTAAGCATTAAATGTCTAATACAACAGCAGAAGCATAAACATAAATTGTCTAGCACATGAAGTTTCAACTATCCAATAGGAAAAATGATATGATTAGCTTCTTCAGTGGTTTGTCTTTGAACTTCTATATCATCTTCAATAAATATCATAGTTTCTAATTCAGGCTCATCAAGTGAAAGTTTAGTAATTTCTAATATTTCCATATCATCAAGAGACTCAAATCCATCTCGAAAATGAGAGAACCTTGCTCGCAGCCGCGGAAGTAAATACGATGCATCTTTTTTTGGATTTCTTTTTGTTTTTCAATGGACACGCATATCGGACACGCGTGTCCTTTTGAAATTAAATAGTATTTTCAATGTTTTAAAAGACGAAATCGGGAATCGAGGCGTTTTTTCTAAGCGAGGCGTAAGCCTCAAAATGATTAAAATAAATTAATTTAAAATTATAAATAATGACAAAAATAATAAAATATTATGTCAACTATGAATTTGAAGATTTATTTTAAAAATTATTTGTACTACCAATAATAAAACAATATACCGGTCTGCGGGGGTCCAAGGGGGCGCTGCTGCCCCCAGAACAAAATTTTATTATAAGAGTAATTTTGAAATTCTGCTTGTTTTTAAAGTTCGTAAGTTGTTGAGCAGGGGGGGGGCTGAGCCTGAACGCTTCCTGTGGTTGGTGGGTGATCTGATCCTCTCACCTAGGGTTCTCTCCAAAACTCTCTCACAAACCTCACAAGAAACAAGTGGTTGAAAAATTCATATGTCATTCATTAGCTCCTTAAAGAAGGAGAATGAGGCTTTAAATAGCCAATACAATGAAGAAAATAAAACGACCAACTTACCCTTAGAGCATACACATGACTAGGCCCTCAAATGGGGGCATAAAAGGAAAAGCACAATAAAACTCATAAATTAATACATCAATAATAAATCTAAATATCTAATACAATGATAATCAAAAGTAAAGCGATGCAATCGTGACCGTAGATCGACGGCCACGCCTCTGGTAGACTCTCCAAGGTCGGATGTCATCATCATTATATCTCATTTTTTCATTTAAAATTTCCTATACAAAAAGTGGCAGACATTATCTCTACTCAAAAAATTCATAAGGTGTTAATCTCAACAGGTATCTAATGTTCTATAGAGTTCTTACTAAAAGTCCTACGAGGACAAATGGCAAATAGAGTCTCCACTAATCTCAACTCAGATAACATAAGTCGCATAAGATAGTTGGTGTTAGATAGGATCTTCACTATAAGTCCCTATAAGGGCTAGTGGTTGACAGGGTCTCCACTAAAAATCCTAAAAGGCATGCCAGTAAGGATGTCTCAAAAGATACATAATGTTAGACAATGCCCTCACTAAAAGTCCCTCTAGAATAAGCTGTAGTAGATAAGGCCTATACTAATAATCCCGAAAGGCATCTCGATAAAGAAGCCTCCAGGGGCAGCTAACATTGGACGGTATTTATTAGGTATCAATGAGAGCAAATGATAGATAATATCTCGATTCATCAAAAATGCCACAAGCACGCCTCAAAAGGTACATAATCTCACTTATCCATCAAAACTTAAATACATTCATCCTGTAAGGCAAAGTAGTAGTACAAATTCTTTTCCAAATTTTAATATTTTTCAAAGATATGTTAACTTTAAAGAACAATGGATCATCCTCTCCTTTGCTAAGTTAACTTTAACCAATCTAATAGTTTTTATAAAACCAACATATTGTTGGAAAAGCATTTTTGAGGTTCCACCTAAGAATCACTTGCGAAAAAGAATAAATATTGATGACCGCCACCATTCTGCACGCTTATATCAAATCATTTATACATAATGCTCAACTAAGTATTGTTAAATCAGGGAGAAGAGTTTGATATAGCTTTTCAACTCATTCACAGCACGTTTCTAACACCACTGCAAGCCATTCTCAAGGGCAAGAGAGAGTTGTCATACTAATATTCATCATTAATCCAAAGTAATGATTAAGGGTTAGAAGCAAAAATCTAAAAAACCCATGTAATCACATAAATCAAGATGCACTCTTTCTAATGATGATAAGAATATTAGAAAGCTTGCTCATTTGACTCAATGGATTTTCTACGATAATAATGTAATGCCAAATTGTTAACCAACAACCACTTCAAATTTT